CTGAATTGCACAAAACGCATGATCGCACCGGCTAGTCTGGTGCGCGTTGCCATTTATTATTTTTTTTTCCTATGAACCTAAATAATTGTGTTGTTACCAAACGAGCAAAGCGCTCACCAGGTGATCTACATATAGAAATGTAATATTTTTTGGTAGAGCAGTGTCGTCATTGCTAGTGATCATCGTAGCGCAGTGTAGATGTTCGGCGAGGTCGATTCTTCGTCGATGTGATCGCCAGTTATTTTGTACTAGCACCACCATGTGTTATATTATCTCTGTTTATATTACCTGAGATTTTTTGTCAAAAAAATATTTTTTTGGTGATTTAGGCCCTGACAATGATAGTTCATTTTTTTGAGGCTATCGCAGCATTCCGTTCCGGATTTTTTTTTTTTTTTGTTTTTGTTGACATACTAATTAGATTGGTCAAAAAACTGCTCGAATTTGGTGTGCATATTTAAAATTTGGTGTATTTTATTTTTTATTTTTTGCAGCGGAACAATATTTCGGCTCAACGTGAAGATGTGGCCTCAGTTCCCGAGTATATCGAGGAACAAAAAGATCGAATTGTTGCATTGGGAGAAGTATGTTACCATTTTTTTTAGATTTTCTGTCAGTTGTTTTATTAAAAAATTGAAAAAAGTTAAAAAATTGTTAAAATTTATTAAAAAAACAAAATTGTTAAAAATTTTTCACTAAAAAAAATTAAAAAAAATCAAATTGACGATTAGAGATAGTTCTGTTTTAAAAAAAGAAAACACAGTTTTTGATTCGGACTACTGTTTTCAACAAAAATTTTGAAATTATTTTTCCGTTTTAGAAAAAAAAATTAAAGTTATCCTGAATTATCTTGTTTAATTTTTTATTTATTTGTAATTTTCGTGGTACAGCTACTTCCTGTACAGTTCGTTCGCGCGCTTCAGTTGTGAATTGATGCTTTAGCAGAAAGTTCAAACTGTCATCTGCAAGAACTTTTGGAGGAGAAATATCAGCAGCATTGCTAAGCGGTGATAGATTTTGGCACTTGGTACTACTTGGGTTACTTCTGTGCCCTTCGGTTTCTCATAGAGAGCCTTGACATTAATTCCAAGCTTTTCACAAGTATAACCCTAATAATAAAAAGCAAATTATTCGTGATTTTTTCTTTCAGATGGTTTAATTCAGTTGTTTTTTATCGACTTTTCTAATCTGTAGCATTTTCAAGATTTTTGCATCATAATTTTTTTTTTTCAGGTTGGTTTAGACTATACACCTAGGTATATGAACACATCGGATGCAAAAGAAGAACAAGCACT